GAAGTTTGGGCAAGATAAGCTCAAAGTCAGACAAAATTTCAAATTTCAAAAGTGTTATTATTGGGGATGAGGTGATGGTATTAAACCAAGGGACAAAAAATTTTGCAAGTGGTACAGCTAGCTCACATGAAATAAGAAGTGAAGGTTAGGGTCTGGGAGCTTACATTTTTTTGAAACTAAAGAGGAAAGCAACAGTGACAAAGTGTTTAAACTTGAAAAGTGTAATTGGACATCATATACAATATCTGTAAATGCTCCCTTTTCTTTTGCTGATGTATATTTTCACCCTTCACTGTCCACACTATTCTTGAAAAAACATATATAAACAGAATTTTACCACTTGTTATGACAAACTGCAAGCCAAAGTGTTTGTGTTTAAGGACTTAAACTGTGCTTTCAGAACTCCTGGTGTTGCCTGAGAATGTTATAAGAGCTTTTGCAAATTTAGCAGAACTCTCCCAGGAAAGCAACCCCCTCAAGTGAATAAAACTTCCCTCCAGCAACACTCTTTGCAAGTGAGGTGGGAGTGATGGGCAGGAATGACTACATAATTAACTCCTTGTATTTGTTTTAACAACCACCAACTCTGCAAAGATTATTCTGGAGTAAAACATAGGGAGGAAGCTACAGAAATATCTGATTCATAAATAACAAATATGTAGCAAGAGTATTAAAACTAGAATAATAATAATATTGGTCAAATTTTTTAAATGTTTTCCAGAGATAGATTTTTTTCCACTATAGAAGAGTCTGGGGTTATCCCAAGATCTTAGTAAGATCAGTATTAATCAACCGTATTTTCCAGAGAGTGACATCTCTTTGATATTATAGATGCCAGAATGGACAAAGAAGTCATAGCAATGTGATTAACAAGGGGAAATGAAAAAATTTCAGGCTTATGATAAAGTGGGATACAAGAAATGGTACTAATTATTAGTTACATATTTAAATCCCATTTAATAAAGGCATATGTGTAAAAAGGGGATATGATCTAGTGTTACATGCAGGAGACTCTGAATTCAAATATTCATATCTCATTCTAGGTCAAATATGTCTATGTTATGTGGACAAAAATATGCCCCACTCTAAATATGTGCCTTACTTTGTAAGGTGAAAAAAGTCAGTTTGTTTTGAGCTCTTCATCCCATTGGTTACTAGGTGGAATGATATTTGTAACAGAAAATTTGGGAGTTTAAATATATTATAAATTTACATTAAATAGCTCTCTTTTATAAATCCCTAAAAAAACCCCTAAAACAATGCTTCTAATATGTTGATTTGAGGACAATGCTAAGATGGAGCTATTAGTAGAGTGACTCCAGTTAAAAGAAATACATGGGAAAGGTTATAAAATAATTAAAGGCAAAAAGATTGAAAACCCAAGGCAAGCATGGACACCTAGGAATATTATGATGAAGCACTGTTATATTAGCGACAGGGGTAGTTTTTAAAAACATATGTTTGTTTGCTAATTTTAATTCCCATCATAAGGCACCTTACTGTTCAATGATTGAATCTTTATAAAGGTTAAATCCTTTCTACATGGAGAGCTGACAGACTCTCTACACGCAACTCTTTCTTTGGGATTCCTATCAAAATAGAAACAAGAGCAAAGCTGTATTCATATCTTCCTCAGAAAGGGGCAGAGCCAAGTATTATGAAGTCATAAAAGGTTGACCTTCATGAGACTTATTTCTAAGTCTGGTCTATGAGAAAAAAGCCCATCAGATATCTATCTTGTGATCAAGTACTGTACCAAAATGAGGGGAGTGTGATTGGATCCCAGCAATGTAATGGGCCAAACTCAAACTAGATGTTTAAGAAACAACTAGTATAGTCATGACTCGACTCGTCCATAAAGATTTTAAGCAACAGTTTTAAGAGACATTTAAGAGAAGCTAATATAAGTATTGGTGATTAAAATGCACATATGGGTTAATGTCGAAGATCCAGGAGAAAAGGGGGAGATATCAATTAAAAATGGTGGAAAAAATAATGTTCTATCCCACAAGACCATAGGTTTGGAGGAAAGCTGATGGACCATTTTGACAACTAGGAATCTAGTTTTAGAATTTCTGAAAAAATTAATCTAAAATGGTGCTGGCTTTTATAAAAATGTTTGATTAAGGGGGAAAATATTATCCAAAGACATGGTTAATTCAAAGTCTTACATTCACACCAAGTGGTAAATATGGTGAAGTTTTAATTTACCACCTAAAACTGTACAAGAAAAGCAAACCTGAAATAACTCTATCAGATTCATATTAGCACAAAAAGGATCAAGGTCACAAAAGTGCTAAAGAGAAGCATCAACTAATTATTTCAATCTCTCAAGAGGATAATAAATCAGAGATGGGTCAACATTATTCTGCATACATCTGGCATCATCTACAGGATTCCAAGGACTATGAGCATAATGCAGTACATGGCATTTTGCTGGTTGGAAGGGAGTCATCAGTTGTCACCACTAACCCAACCCAAATGTGGTAATATAAATAAATAAGAGAGTATTCAACAATGAAACTGACCATTTTGTCATTTTAATCCCATTCTAGGATTAAAATGAACCCTGTTTTAATTTGGTTGGAATGTCCTTGTCCTTCAACTACTAGGTTCTCCTCATGTTCTAAGGCAACTTGTAGTTTTTGAAAATGTGAGTCATGACTCATGACTCAACAGAGAGTCGAAAGAAATTTAGCGGGTTTACAATAAATCAGCATTTAAATGGATTGTGAGAATATGAAACAGAATAAAAATATCAGAGAACATAGCATATAGTAATGAAACTTAAAATGTGTGTGCGTGTGTGTGCGTGTGTGTGTGTATGTGTGTGTGTGTGTAAGAGAGAGTGCGTTTGCAGATCATAATGTAATATGTAGATAGCTGAGGGGTGAAAAAGAAATCTTTGCCCCTAACTCACTTTTCTTCAGTTCCATCAAAGTGCCTGGGATTCAACAATAAAAAATTTATTTTGCTACATCATGAATATTTGTGAGACTTAAAGGCCTCCAATTAAAGTAAAACACATCTAGAAAGAATAAAATCTTAAGTTGCATAGCCAAGGTTGATGTGACTTCTCTGTGAGCAGAGGCCAAATGAATAGAACATGAATTAGGCACTTTTGTGATAGGAGAGGTACAGTTAAAAAGTAGATGACAGCACCACAAGATCATCCTAGTTTCATATCTTTAACCTGCATCCTCTCTGTTGGCATCGATCGATGATTCCCACACAGGGTACTCCAATGCTTTTGGCTACTATAGAAATCAATAAGAAGAATTGTGAATATATCTTTTTATGGCTTTTCAGTTTGTACTGGCCAGTATATTCACAGAAATCGTAGAGAAAGGTCTTCCTTAAGGCCTTAACTTTTCACATCAGTTGCAAATTCCATGAGAATTCATAGCCCATCCTAGGTAGTGGAAAGGATCTCAAGGAACATTTAGATCAAAGATTCTTATACTTCATTATACATCAAAATCACTGGGAGTATTTTAAAAGAACATAGATGCCTGCGCCATATCTTCAGAGACTGAGTTTCAATTGGTTTAGGCATGGGATCCAGACATTTGAAATAAACCTCCTCAGTTGATTCTACTGTGGAGTTGGGTTTAAGAACCAATCAAGTCCTATCACCCATATGACTCTTGAATCCACTCCATTATATTCTAAACAAGTATTTTGTTCTGTTGTTAAATAGCTATAATTTTAATGATGCTCTTACTTAAATTGAGCAGAAATCTGTCTCCTTTTAGAATCCACCCATGAGACATCGTTTTCTACTTTGCCTTTCTCCCAGGAACTTCCAGTCCATAAGGGTATATGACGAGTCAGCTCCCTTTACCATATGTCAGCCCTCAGTATCAACACACATAAGCAAACACAGCACAGCCATAGAACATAGTAACAGTAACACTTATTAAATGTTTGTTGCCAATAATATTATTGTCATGGTTGTCATCATTATTATAATTAGAGGACAAAGCGAAGATAACTGTTAACAGCAAAATCGCCAAAGCAATTTTGCCAAGACAAATGTCAAGAACACACTACTTCACAAAGTTGTTCAGTAAATGGTATGTATTGATAATCTGGAAAAGTGCAAAATGTTTGTTTTTGTGTTTTACTTACTTTTTTTTACCTCTTACAGTGTGCCTTATAGACAAGCGAGCAACCAATGCAAGAAAGGGTCACAAGTATGTTTGGGTGAGTTTTGGCAAAAAAGCTTCTTTGTTCATTTTTAAAATAATAGCTTTCTGGGTTATGCAAGAACTCTCCTTTGACATTCAAAAGCCCTCCCACAAAGTTAAAAATGAATCTTCAATAATATCTCTTCTTAAAAGAGTGAATGAAAATATGTAAAGTTTAGTCTTTACAGAAGAAACAAAGGGAAAAAAAGTAAATTGGAAAAAAAAAGAACTTCTGGGAATATATTTACACTTCTGTGTCTACTCCGCTGATTAACCTCAACCTTTCTGCAACTCAGCTTATCTACCTGTAAAGCCATGGAACGTCGCAGTACTTTAAGGGATGTCTACTAGGATTAAAATAATGTGCTTTCAGGCTTGGTATAATGCCTAGACTCCTGTGAATCCCTTATAAAACATTATTGTTTATCCTGTAGATCATGTTGTACTGAATTACAATGAATTAAGTCAGATTTATCTGAAATCTAAAATAAACAATAATAAAAATGACAATAGCAAAGCCGATTTTTTCGTTGCTGTTATTTAGGGTATACTTGTTGGAGTACCTAAATCTTCCATTGTTGTCTTCTTCCCTATTATCGTGGAGATTAGAAAATTAAATATGTTAAGAATTATCTAAGCTTTATGTTTTCTAATTTAATGATTATCAACATTAATTGGGAAATTCACGTGTCATTGTTACCTGTCTTGCTTAATAGTATAAACAAAAATGAAACAGCATAATCTAACAAACCCGTGTTTCAAAGAATTGCTAACTTTCCATCATTACTTTGCGGAGCCGAAAAGACATACCTTCAACTAAGGAAGTGAGGAGGGTAACATTGGCTGCTTTCCGTCTTCCTGCTGGCAAGTTCAGGCCCAGCCTATCTAGTTTCTCTCTCAGGCAGCGGCCCCCATTCTTGGATTTTGCTCTGTCCAAAAACAAATAAAAACTAGGTTTTGAAAGTTCATGTCCTGAGGGAAACGATTAGAAGACTTGACTACATAGGGACAGAAGAAGACAGCAGAGGCTAAGAGTTGAGGTGTTTTGTATCAGTAGAGTTAGAAGACCCACAGTGCCAGAAAATAACTCTGTCTTACCTTCTCAAAATGCCTCCCAAGAGTGAAGCATTGAGGCATTCAGGTGGTGAGAGGCGCCTTTTCACCTCAGCAATGGTCACCTTGTATTTGGAAGTAGAACTGAGAAGGGACAAACGGCCAGGGACAGAGCAAAATAAGTCTGTGGGGTTGACCACACAGGTGCCACCTTTGGAGGAAAAAGTATTTGATATATCAATGACAGAGAAAATAACTGTATGAAAGAGAGTTAATATTAAGACGCTACTCAGATTTAGGAATACATAGCACGCAATTTAATACACACACACACACATACATACATATACATATATACATTACACACACAGACACACATATGTATGGATTATCTCAAAAAGCTGCTCTGAAGATGTATTTTCAAATGACACTCAAGGTTTTGCCTTTCAAATGTCATACAGGAAATGTTTATGATAGTATGATTTTAATTTTAGGGAAAAAATTGCATCCTATAGAGTGTTGTCCGACCCCCCAGTGTTAACTTTGACATCATCTACACTGAGAAGCACTTCAATTAATTCCCCCAAACTCCACCACTTAAACCTGCAAAGGTTAGTTATTATTTATGGCTGAATGTATATATGCATATATATGTATGTAAATATGTGTGTGTGTGTGTGTGTGTGTGTGTATACACACACACAATGGATGGATTATTTTATCCATGACTTACTATTATACAAAAATTTTGAAAGCTCTTTTCCAAAACATTTGAGAACTGCTATCTATCTCCTTTCCCACATACATCTACCAACTATAGGCACAAGAGTCACTCAGTCCCCTGACATTACTAAAAAACATTTGCCCACTGCCAGAAACTTACAACCTTTGTGGGTGAATGATAGGTCATACCCCTCTACCATATGTCAGCCCTTAGGATCAGTGCACACATTTGAAAACAGAACAAGATTTAGATCATAATAACAGTAACACATTAAATGTTAGTGGCTATTATTACTATTAGGGAACAAAGTAAAGATAACTGCTAATAGCAAAATCATCAAAGCAATTTTGCCATGTTGGGGCTCCTGGAGCAGAAGCTTTCTCTCTCCAAGGTCCAGAAAGGCCCTTGAGCTTTGCTCTCCTCCAGGAGCAACAAAGTACATTCCTTAACCTCAGGCAATTGAAGGAGACTTGAGGACCTGAGAAGATCATATCTGGAGAGTGTTTCCTGCTGTCCAATCCTCCCTTACTGCAAAATTCCTGAGCTAATGTCCATACCGCTAACATGGTAGTTATATAGACCCAAGATCCAAGGCTGCCCCCATGTCCCATGCACTGAGTAATCTGAGGGCATAGCTTCAGCGGCAAGGTCAAATTCAAAGTTTGCTTTTCTGAGCATACATTTGATTTCTTCAGTTATGAACGATCTTAAGACACATCTCCAGAAAAGGGTAAAGTTCTAAGAGGCAAAAGAGAAAAAAAGTAGGTGGAGGAAGAAAAATGGACAAGAGAATATTGTCCAAATACTTTTACTCAAAGTGTGATCTTCAACTGGCAGCACTGGCAAGTCCTTGGAGCTTATTAGAAATGCAGAATCTTAGGCTCAACCCCAGACAAAGAGAATCTGCATTTTAGGAAGACCCTCAGATGGTTCATGTGTGCATCAATGTTTGAGAAGCACTGGCCTAGGACCGACCACTCCCCAACCACTTAGCTCCTGCCCTCTTCTACTAAGCAGCTCAGGTAGAATATGTTGATGGAGTCTCTGGTGTTCAGATTCCTGGCACGGTGGCTAAGGAACCTGCGAGGATGTTGAAAAAGGCCAGGGGGTTCCTGGACCTGGGTGGAGAGAACAGGCTAACCTTGCCCTATTCTTAAAGTGTTTCTAATTCTGTACTTTCCGGAATTCTTCCTGGCTATTTTACGGTCATCTGAATTTCTCCTGAAAGTTCTGGGACCAACGTTTTTCTCTCTAAGCATTCTGAGGCTGGTGATTACCCTATATGTCCGTCAAAGACAGAAGAGAGGATATTAAGAATAGCAGAGTAGCCAGCCTTCATCAGGCTGGAAGACAGGTCCTATACTCTTGGCCGAATCGCCGATACTGGTACCTGGAAACCACCTTCGATCTTAAATCTGAGAGGCCATAATCTCAGTTGTCAAATTGAAATGCTTTTCTTGGCATTAAACTTGTGGCCAACACCATGGAAAACAATGTAAATGCCTGCCTCGGGAACTAGAAACACAAATTTTTTCTGTGTTTCTCCACCTGGCATTCTCAGAGAAGATTTTAGAACAAATAATAACAAAATAGTCCCCCCTTATTCACAAGGGCTACGTTCCAAGACTTTCAGTGGATGCTCAAAACCAAGGATAGTACTGAACCCTATACATACTATGTTTTTTCCCTATACATAAACACACTTTACGGATTCCATTTGGCATATCTGAATTGTCAGCATCACTACTCTTGCACTTTGAAGCCAATATTAAGTAAAATAAGGGTTACTTGAACACAAGCACTGTGATACTATGACAGTTGATCTGATAACCTAGACGGCTACTAAGTGACTAATGGGCAGGTAGCCTGTACATCGTGGATCTGCTAGATGAAGTGATGACTCATGTCTGGGGCCGGACTGAGTGGGACAGCACAAGATTTCATCACACTACTCAGAATGGCATGCAATTTAAAACTTATAAATTGTTTATATCTGAAATTTTCCGTTTAATATTTTCAGACTGTGATTAACCATGGGTAACTGAAACCTTGAAAAGTGAAATAGTGGGTAAGGAGGAACTACAATAATAATACACAATGATGATGATGATGATGATGATGATGATGATGATAAAGTTTTCTCAGACTTCTTGGTTCAAAAATATCATTTTGTTTATGCTCTCACTTTGTATGTATAGATGCAAAATGTATTTTGAAAATAAATTCTTAAGTGACTATTCAGAGATTGAGAAGAACGGGGAAAGTAAGCTAGATATCAATGAATCTGGGTTTTAGTGTCATTGAGAATCATGGACCTGATAGCAAAAATATTCGGAAAAGAAATAATAATGTCTATATTTAAAATTCACACAGCCCTCTTCTGAAAATGGGCCTCTACCCACAATCATTACAAATCATAACCAAATCTATATTTTTACATAAACCCCCTTCTCTTGCACACTAGCCAGTATACTATTGAGAATATAAGGAATCTCACCCAGTGAGTCTCAAGTTTATTATGAGCGAGAGAAGAGGATTTTTTGCCTGTGTTGTTTTTTTTGTTGCTAAGGGAAAGAAAGGCACAATTTTAGACCTTTCCTATCTTTACCAATCTACCATGGGTTATTTAATTTAAGAAGATGCAGAATATTATAATCTTTGTAAAAGGAGTTAATTCAGGCTTTCTTCAACAGCAAAGCAGCACCCTTTTGCCAAAAGGAACCCCACGTGCTGAAAACTAATTATTTCCAGGGAAGTCACTGGGTCTGCTACCTAGCTAAGGGCTAACTCCCTGAGCCCTGGGTCTTTCTCTCCTGCATTCAGGTTGTGCTTCTGGCTTATGCTCAAATAAGCATTTATTAGGTAAGTTACACAGGCTGCATATTAAGAGTATGCTTTTTGCACACACAAATTGCCTGGAGGATTTATTTTGTATTCAGATTAGGCATCAACTCTAGAGTCTTTTATTTTTTATGTCACAGCATCTTTAAAGGGAATTTCTGTTGCTTTGATACTTGGCATTGCTGCAGCCTTGGGGAACTCTCTTGTCCTGGCTAAAGATTTGGCAACTTGTAGAGTTTACAGCAGCATGGAGAACCTGATATTTTTCTTCCCAGTGATTTATTTTTTAGAGAGGAAAACAGAAATAGGTCATCATAACCAGAGTTTTGCATTTGGAAGGGTGGTTCTGAGAAGGTGGGACTTCTTTAAGGGAATCTAGACTACAGATGGCAATGATGAGATTCCAAAAAAGGAAAAAGCCATGAGAGTCAAACATGACAAACCATTTACAGTATTCATCCCCACTATTACTAGCTGAAATTCCTCATGGTGTCTATGTTGCATGTCAGCTCTTATTTAAATTACATAATATTCATTCTAGATCCAGCACTTCACTTAGGGATATCTTTGGTGCCACAGCCAGAGTATTCACACAGAACTCTAGAGTACATCTCTTTTCCATTCATAGTACATAAAGTAATACTTCCATAATAGACACTATTTTTAAAATTGAAACTTGAAGATAGGGCTTCTTATTTCCAGGGATGCTGCAAACTGAGATAGGTAGCTATAGTAACAGCATAAGAAATCAGGGACTATCAATTCAAGGTCACCTGTTTAGGTCATGGCTATCACAAAAGGGATAACTGCCATAGCTATAGGAAAAACTCAGCCAAAGACTTACTGCGTGGGGAACGAATTCGTGCACAAAATACATGAATGTTGATCCTCCGTCTACCATACCTTGTTACATCCCCTGCCGCCAGAAGCAGCACGGGGTTGGAGCTGTGCCTTATTTCTGGTGGCTGGAAACAGTCTGGCCCTGTGTCTGTAGGCAGGTGTGGGGTAATGAAAAAGAGTACTGGGCTGCAAATAAGTGTCTGACCAACTAGCGACCCATCCGACCTCAGATGCCTAACTCTGGAACAGTCTGTCAATCTGAAAAATAGGGATGCTCACCCCCGCTGTACTTATTTTCTCAGCTTGCCAGGAGGTGCAACAGGAAATGGATGCACGGATGCTCAGCCACCTGAGTAAGAGACATCCAACCCCACCATTGTGTTGGGCAACTACCACATCATAAGATGCGAGCTGTGGAACGCGACAAGGCCTTCACCCACCTTTTGCGCAGCTACTGGAAAGCAGCACCCTTTTGGCAAAAGGAACCCATATGCTGAAAGCCCAGCGCAGACGACTGGGCACGCTTTTTTCCTTCTCATCCCAGGCAATTAGGGCAGAGGAAACAGCTACTGTTGTCTCCAAGGAACTGCGGCTCCCCTCCTCCCCCAAAACTGCCTCTAAGACAAGCATCCCCTCTGGGTGCCTCCCACCTCTAAGAACAGAGTGGGTGCTGGCTAGAGGCCGCGCGCGCTCTGCAGGTGCGATCAATACTTCCTGGAGGGCTTCCGGGCGCTGGGCCCGTGCGCTCAGCCTCTCCAAAGCCGCAGCACCGCCCCACTCGCCGTCGCTTCGGTGTTGACATAATT